GGGAACGGCTCCACCAGGGCTCCGTTGGCACAGACAAGGAGGGCAAGACATGAGTGAGCATCCCAGCCGGCGCCTTCCAGACAGACTCGCAAGACCAGACGTCGGGTGGTGCCCTCGTCCATGATGGGATTCTTGACATGAACTCGGTTGAAGAAGGCATCGAGCCAGGTGTTGCAGACAGCGGCGTCGAGCTCGTCACTAATTGTCAGAAAGGGCTCTTCGCGGATTGACGGGGCGTTGCCGCACAGCGAGGGGTCAGGCGTGAGGCCAGCCACAATGTCGCGGAGGACAGGCCAGCGCAGAAGGCCATCCAGATTCTCGGGCAACAAGGCCTGTAGCTGGGCAGGATCTGTGGGAGTATTGTCTGACGCATCCCCACTATGAGGCTCAGCGGCGCCGGATGGGAGAGGCTGGACAGGCTGGAAGCTGGAAGCGTCGAGTTTCTTCTCCAAGCGCTCCAGACGCTCGATGATGGCGAGGCTGGCCGGGTCAAAAGTGGACAAGTCGTGGGGTGCAGACACGCACACGGCCCCGATCTTCTGGCAGAAGGAGCACGATGGCTTCTTCTGGTCGCACTTTGTGCGTCGCGCCCTGCAGACCTGACATGCTACGACAGCCCGCTTGCGTGGATAGGCAGCGCTCGCTCGGCTGGTTTGGGCAACGTGCTTGGCCACGCCGGTCTGCTCGCTTGGCGGGCCTTCCATGTTGGCATGTCTGGGAGATGTGGAGCAAATCTGGGGTTTGTTTGGGCGATGGGGGATTGCTGCAGGTGTCGGATTGTCGGGAAGACGATACGGTATAATGTGTGTTGGAGCAAGTCTGCGGAAGCTCGGGGAGTTGGTTCAGCCTGTGTCGTTCGTTTGCCCCTCTTCCCCGCAAGCCATGAGGAGGTTAATTTGTCCTATTGCAACCCCCAAGCCTGAAAGAGTGAGCTGATGCTCGCTCAGGGCTTGGTTCGCTTCAAGAGCTGCTCCACTTGCTTCACTACCTTGTCCCACTGTGGTAAACCTGGGGAAATAGGACTAGGCCCGCTCGCTAGTCTGACGGACGGCGCGGGATGTCGGGTCAACTCCGTCTGCGCTCTTGATGGGGGATTGTGACAGAGCGGACTCGTCCATTTGGCTCACGCCTTCGCTCGGCATTGTGACATTGACAAGAATCGCACACATGGGTATATAATCAGTGTTGGTATATTCCGTTGGCAGCTTCAACAGAACCAGCCATCCAGGGAGCAAGCAATCTCCCAATGTCAACTCCTCTGACCGAGCCAACAACCATGTCCACAGCCGCTGTCTCCCCTGATAAGCCAGAAGCTCTGCACCATGTCGAGCATAGCGTTGCAGAAGGTGACGACTTGACCAGCAAAAAGCAACATTCCTCCTTTTTCGAGGAATTCAACGCCAGTGAACACAGGCTACGCTTCAGAGATGTGGCCAGGAAATACCCAAAGATCATATGGTGGTCATTCTTTTGGTGCATGTGTGCCGTTGGCTGTTAGTAGTCTTCGTACAATGCCGAGATGTCTGCCATTCAAGTTGACTAATAACATACATAGGGGGTTTTGACACGCAAGTCAACGGTGCCATGGTCGGCGTGCCAGCCTTTAGAAAATTCTACGGGTGAGCATATCCTTACATTGAGTCTTGGGCGCAGCTATCATCTAACTAGATTCAAAGTTATGAGGAGGACGGTTTGGCCATTATTCCAGCCAACTGGTTGACTGCCTTCAACGTCGTCTCCTCTGTGGGTCAGTTCTTTGGTGGCTTCCTCTGTAGTTACATCTCGGACCGCATCGGACGCAAGCCAAGTCTATCAATCGGCGTCCTCATTGCCACTGGCGCCATTTTCGGCGAGACTTTTTCCACCACGCGCGCAGCCTTCGTTGTCAGCAAACTCATCCTCGGTGTCGGTGTTGGCTTTTACCTTACCCTCGGTCCCATCACCTGTTCAGAGATTGCCCCAACCGTCTTGAGAGGACTCTCCACGGCCGGAGTTAATCTTGGAATCGCTGTCGGGCAGCTGGTCTCCAACTCCGTAATCCGAGGTTTTGGAAATCGGCAAGACACCTGGGCCTTCAAGGGCCCTTTTTTGGTCCAGCTTGTTTTCTCTGTATTCCTTTTCGTTGGCAGTCTCGTCTCCCCTGAGTCCCCGTGGTACCTCATTCGAGCCCACAAGATCGACGAGGCGAGGAAGACTCTACAATACCTGTACGGATCTGAAGCTGAGGCGGAGGAGAAACTACTCGCAATTATCAGGACAACCGAGGAAGAGACTCGATTGCAAGAAGCAAGCTACGCCTCCGCATTTAGAGGCACTGACAAGCTTCGCACTTGGATCTCTATTGGTGTTTTCGCTTGCCAGCATGCCGTTGGCATCATCTTCGTCCTTAGCTTCTCCACCTACTTCTTCCAGCTTGCCGGCCTCGAGACCTCCAAAGCGCTCGACCTCGGTGTCGGCGTTACTGCTTGTGGCGTTGGAGGCAATATCTGCTCCTGGTTTATCATAAACCGATTCGGTCGTCGACCGATTTTCCTCATCGGGATGGTTGGATGCACGGTTCTGCTTCTGCTAATTGGAATTCTGGATGTGGTTCCCACCGATGCCGCCAAATGGATCCAGTCCGCGCTCACCGTCGTCTACTCATTTGTTTACTTCTTGACAATCGGCGCTGTCGCTTTTGTGCTCCTCGGAGAGGTGTCTTCCCTTGCCCTCAGAGCTAGAACCACTGCTTTGGCCACTGCCACTCAGGCCATCTTTGGCATCATCATGTTCTTCGCCGTTCCCTACATGGTCAATCCTGACGCCGGTGTAAGTTATCAATCCTCTTTCCGTCTTTATTAGTATAACCTCTAATCCGTGGTCATTGCAGAACCTTAAGGGTAAAGTCGGCTTCGTTTTTGGCGGCTTATCCGCGTTTGCCTCTGTCGGCTGCTTCTTCTATATCCCGGAGCTGAGAGGCCGTACCTACAGTGAGATTGATGCCATGTTTACTCATCGTGTGCCCCCTAGACAGATGGGAACATATAAGTTTGAAGACGACGCTTCTCCTTGATTTCTATTCCAAGGTGTAACATCTTAGTCGCTGCAGAGTGAATTACGGGGGATGAGGTGCCGAGCTTCGAGAGGCATTACGGTGTCATTCGATCTCACCTCGCCTATCTAGCTTTTATTTCTAGTAGCTTGCAGGTTTTAGTAACAGATAACTATTTCAGGAAACATAGACCTTCTATGTCTGTGATTTAGATTTATTTCGTTGTATTCTGAACGAATATTAGCTCAATGTGACAGTTCCGAGGCGTTGAAGCATCCGCCAGACCCGGACGACAATCTCGCAGATAAGGGTACACACGCTCCGGAAACCGAGGTGGGTCTATGCGAGACAATTGGCTTGTAAGACCAGACCGGTATACTATTCTTGCCGTGTGCGGACCTCACGAAAAGCAAAAGGAGGCTCCGATCACCGTGAAAAGGGAGGGCCATACGGAGCTCTATCATATTTTCTATCCAAATGTTTGTCCGATCATGGGCTTAAGAGAAGACACAAGGAGATTCATCGCCATTTATACGCCAGATTCCGGCAACATTGTGTGCCGCAACATCCGATTTTATATGGAAATGGAGACCAAGTTTTCTTCAGCAAACTCGACCAGCACGACCGGGTGAGGCCAATCTGCATCATCAGAGGCGATGGCAATACTCGACTATTGGCCGGCCGAGCCCACGGTCTTCAAGTGGGCGACCGATTCTCCCTTTCTCCTCCGGGCTCAATAAACAACCCTAATCCCGAGCGATGTAATTTTGCCGAGATTACTCGAGCTGGGCCTCTCACGTCAGACCTTCAGCTGTTGAATGTGACGCCCAATCTCCAGACGGGATGGATTGCGGAACCGCTTACTCTTTCACACCTCACCAACTTCTGCGTTCGATTAGCCCCTGATCCCCCGTACCACAACGAATTGTTGGCAGCATCGACCAAACGGTCGCTCGGCACTAACTCTTCCACCGACCAAACACCGGCAGTCCAGGTTATGCTAGGTCTGAACAACGAATACAATATTTGCATCTGTGACATGGCAGAACATCTGACACTATTCAGGATGGCTACGAACTTGGCCAATAAGAGGTCTACGACCGCATTCTGAGAGTCGTGTCAAGTTCACATTACCCAAGGAGGAAAAACCTGCCGACCGGTGAGCAGATAGAGGCACTTCATGAGGGTCTCGTGCAGCTGGACATCAAGAACACGGGGCGTAACTTTCTGTACGCCCATGTGTTTGACTTGGGCCCTTGTTGGCAAGTCAAGGACCTCGTTCGTGACACTTACCAAGCCACCCCTCCAGAAGGTTATTGCTCAATGCCGGTGAGTTGAGGTCTACAGGCATGTTTAGAAGAATGATGACAATAAGTGTCCCTCCTGTCATGCCGGAGCGCGGCTCGTACGTAGATATTGTCAAGTTTTTTATCACATCGCAGGCGACATCATTTGACTTACTTGAGTTACCCAATCTTGTTGAACTAGCCACGGCAGCTGGAGGAAAAATCACTGATTCTGATACACATTTTTTGGAAGACTGGATGACATTCGGCCTTACTATCCTTACGCCGGCGTAAATGCGTTCTACTTTCCACGAACCCTACCTAGTTTGTAGTGAACGTCATCACAAATTTCATCTGAGGTGCAATAATGTTATTGTCTGTATTCTGCAGCATTCAGCCACAGTTGTTTTACGAGATGTATACAACAGAATCATAATCGAACGCTCACAAACTTGATAACAGAGTACGTGAATGGATGGCTGTCAATGAAAGATCGCATAGGTTGACATGCAGCCGTCTCTCCGGAAAAGAGTGGCGATCGATATGGTGATTATCTTCGCCTCCGACTCCACAACTCCCAATCGAAGCCACGAAAACAAGTGATTAATCTTCAACTAGCGAAGATACACCAAAAAAAGAAGAAAAAAGGAAGACACACGGTGGATGTGCGCTAGAACTGATATCTCCGATGCGGGGAATCGAACCCCGATCGCCGCGGAACCTCTTGAAGATGAAAACGCGGAATGATAACCGTTACACTACATCGGATACCTTGGTTTCTCAAGCGCTGATTGAACGCCTTGTAGAGCTTCCCTGACAATTAGACGGTCAGATCAACTCGTCATTGACCACAAGTCACGGGGTAGCGTCAAGACACCATTCTTGTTGTCGTTCCTGATCAATCTTCGAGAGGCGATTGGCAACCGAGACAGTAATAACGACATGGAAGACCCGACTTCCTGCTGGCTATTGTTACCACACATGTCTGGCGGTTTGAGCAATCCCATTCCTGTGACATAAACGAACACACACATCTGACGCGGTGATCTATGGGGTTGGCCGTCACTCAGTCACCCTATACCTCAAGCAACCACCCAACAATGGTTTCCAGTCACATTCCCATGGGCAAAACATAACAGCTAGCGACTTAAAGATTGGTTTTACAAGGTAAAGGAGACTTCACGCTCTTCCAGAATGCTGCTAGTATCTTGGTAGTTTGGAAGGCTGCATTCCGAGTCTTGACGTCCCACATGCGAAGCCGTTTGAGGGGACGTTTTTAGAGAGTCAGTCGCCCTTAAAATTTCAAGGTCTATTTCCCCTTTTCTATGGCAAATGCTCAGCCAACAGTAGAGAGCTGCTAGGACTGGCATCACGTCACAGTGCAGCAGAGTAAGAGAAGAAACAGGGAGGTAGTAACACTCCTTAGGTCATTGTTTCTCTGACCTGACTCATATCAAGGCTCACGTTCAACTCCGTCGATGCCATTTCGATGCTAGATCGCATACAATGCTTACATAATATCACCTATCTTGCTTCTTTTCCTTACTTAACGCTCATCCCAACAAGACTTGAGCTACATCATTGTCGGATTCATTTGACCTAATTCCCCAAAACTTTGGAACACATTATTTCCATTGTTCTCATGTCCAACATGTCTCAGTCACCCAAGAGGGCTTAGAAGCAACTACTATCGTTGCGATGGATCTTGTATCGTACAAACATAGCAAATTATGGGAAAATGAGGAAGCCTTTGGCATCTGACTTGGGGAATTATTCACGCCAAGCCCCTCCATCATTCTCAAAGTAGACCATCGTCGTGATCTAGCACCATAGCCCGCCCGGGCATCAAGTAGTCCTGCCGCGCGCCACTCGAATGTTGAGGAGAGCTCCAGGCTTGGTCTTTCTGCTTAAGGAGGATCAGTCTTGGACCCTTTACTCATCTAGTGACCATTAACCGGAAACGGCTTTCTGAAGCTGGATTCTGGTGGCGTGATGGGAATCGGTGGCAAGATTCACCTAGAAGAACATCATTCTTATCAGTAACCAATGGGAACGTTAAGATAAATAACGGTTCTCGTACTTACGGTTCAGTCCTTCTAACTTGAAGGCATGGTTGAGCCGTTGAGTCGTAATGTGACCCAAATTGGGAAAAGTGAACGGCGCTACCTACAGATGACTCAATTCTATCGAGCTTTCCTATCTTTCGCTACGCAGAACTATTAAATCCCGAGAGATAGCGTGCACTGAAGTTAGAATTCGGTAAGGCGTGTTTCCCCTAGACACACGCGGTTCAATGTTGCATTTGTGGTCGTGTGATGCAGGCGCTCCTGGTGGAAAATCTGCTTACCCTGGAGTGGACCATGCCTGTTTTTGTGTCTGACGATTTGTGGAATCATTGTGAACGAGCAAGGCCCCGCTGTCGACACCTCTGGAAATAAGCCCACGTTACTGGCTGGAGGGGCCGGGAATAATGTTCTTCTGGTCAACGGACTTCTCCAGGCTCAATTGCCGTCTCCAAATCAGGCTACCTCGAAGCAGAATGGCACATGGGCTCACGATAAAGCCCCTGATCGCCCAAAGAGGAAATATTGTACGCGATAAGAAGTCGCGGACGCGCGCGCCAGTTGATAGTGACAGATTCACGTCGAGGCTCTCCACCCATATTAATGACAAGGCGTCTGGACCTCATCCCCGGAGTCTCCATGATGTCGTCAACGCGCAATTGAAACAGCGAATAGTTCACCAGGAAACCATGGCCAACAGCGACAAGGACTCTGGCTCTGGCTCTGGCGCCTTGAACTTGGACTCCAAGGCCAGCCCGGAGGTGGGCACGGAAAAGGTCAAGGATGGCCACGACATTGACGTGGAGGATGGTGAAGTGGAGGACTCGTGAGCCATGCCATCCCTTTACCGAGATGGTCTCCACTGACGCATCCATCTCTGTCTAGGCCCTATGACGAGGTCAGGGCCATTGTGCCCCCGGTAGACGACCCGGAACTACCGGTCAACACGTTTCGAGCGTGGTTTCTAGGTATCGTGTCGACCATCATCTTTTCGGGATTGCTGCAATTCTTTCAGCTTCACTCGCCTCCAAGTAAGAACCCCCTTCTAGCTAGTTGCAGAGCAGCCCATTGATATCTTCTAGTTTTTCTCGCCTCGTATCTCGTCATCATCGTCACGCTGCCCATTGGCAAGTTCATGGCCCGCGTCCTCCCATCCAAAGTCATCAATGTCTTCGGCTGGAAGTTTAGCCTCAACCCGGGGCCCTTTAACCACAAGGAGCACACCATCACGGCCATCATGACGACGCTCGTGTCGGCCTTTGACAACGGTTCCCTCGCGTCCGACGTATACGTGGCCTTTGACAAGTTTCTCGGCATCCCGATCTCGCCCGGCTTCCGCTTCATGTTTCTGCTCACCACGCAGGCGTTGAGCTTTGGCTTCGTCGGCATGTTCCACCGCTTCTTGGTGCGCCCTGCCGTTTGTATCTGGCCTGGGGCTCTGCCTGCGTGTTCCATGATCTATGCTTTCCACGACCCGTCGTTCCACAACCAGGTTGCCAATGGGTGGAAAGTGCACCGGATGAAGTTCTTCTGGCTGACAATGACTATCGCTGCGAGCTGGCAGGTTGTGCCGAGCTTCTTGTTCACATCTCTGACGACATTTGCTTTCATCACATGGATCAGGCCAAACAACGTGCCGTTGAACCAAGTCTTTGGCGCACAGACAGGCATGGACCTGCTGCCTCTCACGCTCGATTGGAACCAGATCTCAGGATATCTTGCGTCACCCTTGGTGGTACCTTCTTGGGCCATCCTCAATATCCTGGGCGGCAGCATCTTCTTCCTCTGGATTATTTCCCCGGCACTGCACTGGCAAAACGTGTGGTACGGCCGATACTTTCCCTTCTCATCCTCGCGTACCTTTGACAACACTGGTGCTGCGTACAACGTCAGCCGAGTTATGAACCCAGATTTCAGCATCAACGACGAGGCTTACGCCGAGTACTCTCCCGTCTTCCTCTCCACCACCTCGGTTCTGTCCTACGGTCTCGGATTCGCCTCGGTTACTTCGATTCTGATTCACACATATCTCTATCATGGCAAATTGCTCTGGAACAGTTTTCAAACTGCAATCCGGGGCAAGGATGACGAAGCAGAAGATATCCATGGAAGATTGATGCACGCCTACAAGGCTGTTCCTGAGTGGTGGTACGCCATTATATTCGCCATACTCCTCGGTATTAGCATGGCATTCATCTATGTCTACGATACCGGCCTACCTTGGTGGGGATTGATCATAAGCGTCCTCATCAATGTGGTTCTTCTAATCCCCATCGGCCTGATGAAGGCCACCTGTAACGTGACAGTCAACACTGGAGTCTTGGCGGCTCTTATTGGTGGTCTGATCTGGCCAGGAAAGATGGTCAACAACGTTGTGTTCAAGGTGTTTACCCTCGTCTGCACGTTTCAAGGCCTCGGCTACATTCAGTCCATGAAGACGGGCCACTACATGAAGATCCCACCCCGAATCACATTCACGGCCCAGTGTCTAAGCATCGTCATATCGTGGGTCGTGCAGACGGGAGTCAACCTTTGGGCCATGGGACATGTGGAGGGAATTTGCACCGACGAAGCGGTGAACAACGTATGTTTCAGAGATCTGAGAGATGAAATAGTGAACAAGCTGACATTTTGATTAGTTCTATTGTCCCCTTGCCAGCGGATACGCAGCCAATGCTGTATTCTGGGGCCTCATCGGACCGACCAAACTCTTTGTGTCTGGCTCCATGTATTCCAACATGCTGTGGTTCTTCCTCATTGGAGCTCTTCTCCCAGTTTTGGTGTATTTTGCAGCAAAGAAGTTCCCCCATAACAAAATCCTTGCCAAGGTAGGGCATCTCACCAAACAAATGTGTCATCGTTATCTAAGACAGTCTTTTTAGGTTCACACGCCGGTTATTTTTGCCTCAACGTCATCAATTCCACCAGCCACCGCCGCCAACTACATTTCCTGGGGCCTCGTCGGCCTCGCCTTCAACATGTTCATCAAGCGCCGTTACCGCGCCTGGTGGGCCAAGTACAACTACTTGCTCTCGGCCGCATTGGACACTGGGCTCGCAATTACGACCTTCCTGGTCTTCTTCTGTCTCACCTACCCGGGTGTGACTCTGAGCTGGTGGGGAAATAGCATTGCTGACAAGACGGCTGACGGAATGGGGCTTCCGCTTGATTCAGTGGCCCCGGGAGACACTTTTGGGCCAAATACTTGGCACTGATCTGTTGGTTGAGAGATGGAATCCATGGACGGGAAGTTGGAATGAATTGTAGTTGTCAGGGGCATTCTCAAGTCCTTACTAGAATGCTGAGAGAGGGCTTAATTTAGAGCGTACTGCGATGAGCTGGTCACTTCCTTCAAATGCCATCCAGAATTTGTTACGCTGCCTATACGTATGGGATCAATATCAAAATTCCATTATACACCTGAAGTTGAGTTTTAATAATCGAGTATTGTGATTTATCGCTATCGCCTTGGCGTCTTCTGACGTTTGATCCTCGCTTCGCCCCAACTGTTCCATACCTTGATCACTGATGAGTTATTCACAATCACGGCGAGTTACATGGCATAACATGAGATCCTGAACAACTCATGATATTACAGTCTGCTCTAGTGTCTTCGTTCTACTATCTATCACATCATTTTGGCTACCTAGAATTTGCCTCCAGTCATCCAGGTCTGAATCAAGTGGAGCGAAATCTCAGGTTGAT